AAGATTATCATCGTACTTGTTATTAATAAATATTATTATCTATATATTATTATTATAATTGCTTCTTCTATTGTTGCCATAGTTATTTCTTTGATTATTATTGTTGAAATTGTTAGATCTTTCTCTTCTATTGTTTCTATCATCTACATTTTTCCTTTAGTAGCAATTAGCAGCATAATGTTCTTTCTTGCCACAATAATAACAAGTGCTATTTGCTTTAGAAGAGTCTTGTTTAGTTTTAGCAGCATAGGCTAGCTTTGGTTGTTGTTGTTGGGCTAGGTTAATACTAAGTTGAGCAATCTGGTCAGTGAGTTAGGCAATTGCTTTATTGGTTTCTGCATCTGGAGTAGCAATATGTTTTTCTGTTTCCTAGTTTCTTGCTGAATTCATAATCTTATCAAAGTCTCGTAGACTAGAGGCTTGTACGGGTATAGCGAATTCAGGTTGTAGTTCTTGAATAAAATATTGGTGGAGAAATGCAGATAGTAGTGCCATAACTTTGTGTTAGAGATTCTTAAATTTAGCAATATATATATCAACAGTATCATTTTCTTGTTTGAGGTCAAAGAACTGTTGTTGCCATTTGGCTTTTTGGTGAGTAATACAGAATTTAGCTATAAATCATGTTTTAAAACTATTAGGAACATGAGCTTGATCATAGTAATAGGTTAATTGTGTATCTTAAAATGTTCGAACTCATTTATTAGCAATTCCTTTTATATAGGCTTTGGCTAATTCTAGTTGTTATTTATTACTCTAGTGGTTTGCTTTTGTAGCTCATTCAAATTCATCTAGCCAGTCATGGAAATCTTGAGTTCTATTATCAGTGAAAGGTTCAATTTTGATAAGTTCTTTTTTCCTCTTCTTTCTCATTCTAAAGCTTTAGCAAGCCTAGTAATAGCTCTAACAGCTTTATTCATCTCTGTTTCGTTGGGTAATTCTGGTTCTTGAATTTCTTCTTCTGGCTCAGCTTCTTCTTCTTTAGTTAGTTCTTCTTCTTTTTCTTGGTTATTATTATTAGTAAAGTTGTTTTCAAATAGTGGTACTTCTTGTACTTCCCAATAATTATGAATAAGAATATTGTCTATAATTAAATATATACAGGTATAATCGCCTTAATTATCATTATTATTGGCTTGATTTTCTGGCTTTATGGTGATAGTGGTTTTAAAAATAGGAAGGTTAATTTGTTTTAAGTTTTCTGTTCCAACAGGTGTAGTTTGATTAAGTACTAATTCGTTAATACTATTAGTATCTAACTCTTGGTCAAATATATTACCAAAAGGAACTATAGAACTAAGAGTAGGGATATGAAAATCAGTTATAAGGGGTTCAGTACTATCTGAAGAAAAAGAGGTCTCAGTAGCTAAGACAAGAAATTGAATATTAGTTGTTTTTTCAGATATTGTAGAATGTTGAGAAAGGCGTCATTCTAACTCAGTATCAGATTCAAAAACTGTAGTAGTGTTAGGAGAATAGGTAGTAATGTGAATAGAGCAGTCACTATGTTCTATTTGTTGAAAAGTTGATCCTAACTTTTCAGAGTATTGGATATGTTGGATAGGTAGAGATCTAAATTGGGGGTGATTAATATAAATATTGTATTGATTTTGAGCTGAATCTTCAATTTGGGAGATATTTATATAGAAAGTGAAGCATTAAAATAATAGTACAATTACAGATCGAGGAGCGGATACTTGATTGTAGTATCTGCAACTAAAAATAATATCACATGTGGCAGAGCAAACAAGATCTCATCAAACTGTACATAGTTTATCAAAGCTTTGTTGAGTAATTAAACTATAAGAGGTAGCATTATAAGCTCTAGAATACCAGTTCCAAGATTCACTAAAGTCAGTAAGAGTAGTTAACCATCAAAAGGAATAACACTATGTATATAATAAATCTTGATAGAAAGTCTGATATACTTCAACAGCAGTGGCTATAAAGTAAGTATGTTCAACTTGATGTTTTTCGATATTAGTTTGATGAAGATTAGTTGACAAATCAGTCATAAGAATAAAATTATCTTCCAGAGATAATGTTAGTTTGCAAAGAATAAAAAAAATAATATAAAATAAAATAATAGAGAATTAAATAAGATTAAATAATGAGTAGAATAAAAAAAAAAATAATATATGTACAAAAGAAAAGATTAATTAAAACAAGTAGTGATATCAAATAATAATTCAAAATTCAATTCATTTTAATTCAAATAATAATAATATTTCAAATTTACTATGCTGACAACTAACCTGCAAAAGGTAAAGTATAAACTCTTCAGGCTTATAATAATTCAAATAATTTTATACCTTTAATAATTTCAAAATTCCAAATTGCTTTTTCAAAATAAAATAAAATAGCCAATCCTGCAATAATTCCAAAGAGTAGTTATAACTTGAGAAATAATATGATTCATAGAAAGCTTTGATAAAATCTTCTATGATTTTATACTATACTGCTAGGAGATCTGTTAAAGAATAATAAAAGAGAGAAGGTTGGTGTTCTCAAAGAAGCGATTAGAAAGATAAAGGTTGTTCTAGATAAAGAAAAATAGAGGTTTTGGTTTAGGTTTCTGCCAGAAGGTACCAAAATGTTACAATGCTATAGCCTTCTTAATATAATTATAGCAGAATAACAAGGTCACCTGGTGTAGTGATATACTTTATAAATATACACAGGTGGATATAAAGTGTATACTTTAACTTTATAGCAAGAGGCAAATGGTTTGAGATAATAACAATATATAGATAATAATATTTATTAATAACAAGTACGATGATAATCTTGCCTGTAAGAATTACTCTAGAAGAGAAATATCACACGTTACAAGTAGAGAAGAATAAGAGAATAAGACTAGATTCTATGAAAGGGTAGAAACCTCTAAGCTGGATGAAAAGAGGCAAGGCTCTCTTTTTATAACTTTTCTACAGATAGAAGTATAATAGTATAATTGCCTAATGGAGTAGAGACACTCTGGAGGCACTGTATAGAGATGCTATAGAGGCACTATATAAAGGTACTTTAGAAGCACTGTATGGAGGTACTTTAGAGGCACTATACAGAGGTACTTTGAAGGCACTGTGCAGAGGTACTTTGGAGGCACTATGCAGAGGTACTTTGGAGGCACTATGCAGAGGTACTTTAGAGGCACTGTACAGAGATACTTTGGAGACACTATGCAGAGGTACTTTAGAGGCACTATGCAGGCTCTCTTGCATTGCATACTGTTTTACTTAGCCACAGTATTACTGTGCCCTATTCTATCATCTAATAGAATTTTTTCTCTAATTAAATATAATTAACTATACTAATACAATATGTAATATATATATATAATAACTATACTAATATAACGTTAATACTCTATAAAATAATACAGTAAATAAAATATTTTAAACTACATTATCCTGTATTACAGCCCACTTTGTAATATTATAAAAAAAACAAGAAATAATTTATTTACTACCCAGGTAAATTATTTATCTTTTTTATTATTTTTTTTTAAAAAATAATTAAATCTAAAATATTAGCAAATTGGAATTAAGTATATTATATATAAAATCATATAAAGAATCTTTTTTATTAAAATCTAAAAAATAATTTCATAAACAAAATAGTAAAATATTAGCAATTTTTAAAAAAATTGACATTATTTTGTTATACAAAGATGCTTTATATATTACATATATTATATCTAATTTTGTACTTTATTAGATAATTTTAAAAGGGTAAGTAATATCAAATCTTATTCTAAGTGAAGAATAAATATACTCAAAAACAATATAAGTCAAAATTCATTAATAAATAATAATTTTATATTTTAAATAAATTTGTTTTAAGAGTGTGGTAGCTTAGTGAAGTGGTCTAGTTATTACCCTACTAAGTAGCAGGTTTAGAGTTCAAATCCCAAGGATGATATTTTTTAAAAAATAGATTTGCATTAGGTAACAATTATCCATTAATCGGTTGGATCTATAATCTGTAATCTTAGTTGTACCATCTTGTTATAGAAGCTTTGGTGCAAAAATACCAAAAAACTGGAATGATCAAAATCTGTTTTGGAAAACTCGAGTAAGGAGGTAGTGGATACCCTTGACAGTGTTACAGGAAAGCTAAATTTGGAAATAACAGCCAAGATTGGAGAACCAAACAACAACAAGATTCTTAAGTAGGAGAATCCACCAATCTGACTGCCAATTGAAAAGAAAGCTAGCATATCAACCTAGTTAGCTGGTATGGAAAACTGGTGTAATTATCTACCATGACTAGAACTTGGGAGTTAAATTCTATCTAATGACAAGGGCTAAATGATCTCTGGAGACTAGCTAAACCCAATTAGAGAAAAAGAATATGTACTATAAAATTATGTACCATGATGAGACAGGGCACAAAATACCTAAAGCCTAGCCAGAATCAAATCTTCCAGGTTACAGGTTGAGAGTAAGGGCGGGACTAATAAGGCAAGAATGAAAAAAAGAAAGTCTGAATGTGAGTACTGGAGTTGAAGTAAACCTTACAAGGATATAGTAGTTTAATTAGATTATACCAAACTACAAGTGGGAGCCTCAGCAATTGTGATGACTAAGTCAGCCAAATAGAGATATAGAAGGCTCTAGTAGATTTATCTCAAAGATAGCCATATGTTCACTCAACAGAGAAATGTATACTGGTAACTAGTCAGTGCAAACTTTCAATAAGTCACAGAAGTTTTAAGACAAGGTGTAAAATCTGTTAGAGACAACTAGATAGAAATCTTAGTGTTAGTAGAGAGTTACCTACACATAGTTATAACTAGAAGGTTTAAATAGGCAACCTTCTAGATGGGTTACAGGTATAGTAGCTAGTGTAGAACCTGCAGGCAGACTACTTAAATAGGCACCCAAAAGATGTATATGTAATCAGTGTTGTCATGTAAACATGGACTAGACATAGACCAGATGTCCATGTCTGTGTCTGCATCTTGCCTTGGACATGAACATTGTTCAACAATCAACTAATCAAATTCAATAATCCTCTGCCAATTTCTATTTAGTATTTAAATCAATTAATTAAAAAATGATTATGATGATGCTCAAGTATCACAATCAATGGCAATATTTATAGAATTAAATACTTGAGCATACTCTTTTTCTATTTTTTATAATCTTTATTATATCATCTAAAACATCTAAAAAATCTAATAAAAAAAATTTAGTTTAACTGACTGCTAAATCTTCAGCTTTAGTTATATTAGCTTTTTCTTTTAATGATTTTACCAATATTAATCTTTTATTGCAGCAGCAATAACTTATGAAATTATTAGCAAAAGTTGCTTTGTAGCAACAAGAAGTAAAAAAAATTTATTAAGTTTATATGAGCAAAAAAATATAATAGCAGTATTTATTACAGTTTGGTTAAATGTTAAAAGATGGGTTGTATTAATAATAAATTTTATTTATATATATTATTACAAATAATTTTTACATGTTTGTAATGAATTCAACTTTCAAATTTAACTATTAATATGGCATGACTTCATATCTGACTTTTTATTTCTTTCATCAATCTAATCTTGAAATTACAAGTTTCATTATACAATAAAGCAAAAGTTTAAAAAAAGAATAATATTAGCTTAACAAATAAACTAAAAAAATAAATAAAAATAAAAAATTAAACAAGAGAAAAAAAAAACTAGAAACTAGTATACTTATACTAGTAATATTTTCTCTTGGGTATTACCAACAATATTTTTATTTCATGGTAACTACAAGAGAAAAAAAGTAGTAGTTAATGAATAAAAGAAAAGAGAAACAAGAAAACACGAAACCAAAAAAGTAGAAACTAGTATACTTATCTTATACCAATACTATTTTTTTTCGAGCTCAGATTATTACTGATTCTATTTACATTTCCCAGTAACCTACAAGAGAAAAAAAGTAGTAATTAAAAATAAAAGAAAAGAGAATAAGAAGCACAAAAACAAGAAAGTAGAAACTGGTATATTTATTTTATACTAGTACTATTTTTCTTTTAGGCTCAGATCTCTATTACTAACTTCATTTATGTTTTCAGTGGTCTACAAAAGAAAGAAGTAGTAGTTAAAAAAAGAAAAAAGAAACAGAAAAACACAAAAACAAGAAAGTGGAAACTAGCATACTTAACTTACTATACTAGTACTGTTTTTTCTTGGGCTCAGATCTCCATTACTAACTCTATTTATGTTTCCCAATAATCTACAAAAAAAAGTAGTTAAAAAAAAAAACCAAGAAAATACGAAAACAAGAAAATAGAAACTAGTATACTTATCTTATACCAGTACTATTTTCTTCCAGAATTAGATCATTGCTGATTCTATTTATTTTTTCCAATGATCTACAAGAGAAAAAAGCAGTAGTTAAAAAATAAAAGAAATGAGAAATAAGAAAATACAAAAACAAGAAAGTAGAAACTGGTATACTTATTTTATAGTACAGGTGACCCCCGATAATATCAACCTACGTTAATATCAACCTAAGCCACAAATCAAGTTTTTACAAATTTTTATATATCAAAATTCCCTCGTATATATCAACTTTAATATGAATTTTCGTTAATATCACTATCAACATAATTTTGAACAGGTTCAAATGGGTTGATATTAACGAGGGTCACCTGTACTATGTATAATTTCCATGCTCTGCAGGATAATGGTAGGTTTCTCAAATTTCTTTTGCAAAGTTTTAGCTAATCATCGATGTAACATGAAAATCAAATGATTAAATAAACTCTTTATGGCTGATTATAAAATCATTTAACAACTTTTTTAGGGTTAGAATTTAATATCTTGATTAGGATGGTTGTATTAAATATTGAATTTTTTATTTTTTTTTGCCAATATACAGAATCTAAAACCTATCACTAATCTATTGGTATTTTTAATAATATACCCAATTCACATATGCAATAAGAAATATTCAATATGGCACTTAAAATAGTCTTTATATTATTTTACTCAGCGATAAAAATAGAAACATGCTAATATTTGAGGCTCATTGATAATTTATTTAAATAATAAATGATAAACTAATGTCCCATTTTCCCTTGTCATCACTCATCTATGAAATAAAAAAAGATTTTTGCCGTTTTATCTGATGATAGTGTGTAAACTAACAGATCTCTATATTGTATTAATTGAAATAGCATATGTCATTATAAAGAATTCGAACATTATTTTATTGTTTTATCTCGGTTATTATGTTCATGATATGCATTTCAATCTGATGCATAAGTTAGATTCCTCTCGAACATGAAATAAAAGAATTGTACAACAGACAGACGCGTTGAAGATCAAAGTTTCTAGATTCATATATAAATTTCTTTATTATGTATAGACTAGAGTTAATACCTCTATCCGGATTTATATATCCGGATATATTCTATGTCATGTGATATAACGTGACATAAGGTTT